AGAGTTTTGATCATTGGGCAGACAGAAATTGCAATTATCACGGCACAAAAAAAGAAAAGGATTGAAGAGGAGGGGGGGGGGCGTGCTGCACGTACAAATAGCCCGAGCGTCCAGGCGGGCGCCCCCCTGCCACTTACATCACACATCTCTTCAGAACAAAACCTTCATAAAACTAGTTTTATGAAACTGCTGTTAATTTGAAGACTCAAAATATTTGTTTCACCATCTTCGTTGGCATGACTCATTTAGAAGTGATTTTTCTTATGTAATCCAAATTTAGCGTGTATTACTTGCACTTTACACGGTGAATAATATGTTTGTACATGTGCGATACATTTTGTAATTTGCCATTTACAAAACGAGTCGTACATCTACAATCTCACACTCTTGCTTGTTATTCGATTCCATGTCGATGCGCAGGGCTTGTAAATTATACAATTTTTAGTTAATTGTACATTTTCCATGGTAAATTTCTCTGTATACGCGACGACAATTTTTCACTGTGTAGAGAAGTAACTGATTTTCAAGCAAAGAACATCACTCTTTCTGCGATGCCATGGTGATCTGTTGCCCTATTTGGACGATAAGCTTTTATACTTTGGTGTTCACAGTGCGTAGAGGGCAACTCTCCTCGTTCTGTCTCCCCCGCGCTCACTCCCACCCCTCTCCCGTCCTCCTTCTCGCTCATACACACACTTCCTTTCTAAGAATCACTTCCGTCCCCCCCTCTCTTTTTCTCTCTCTCTCCCTCTCTCCCTCTCTCCCTCTCTCCCTCTCCCACCGCTCACCCTCACGCTTCCACTCCTTTGCGGGGGCTATCCCTTCCGTTTGCCTTTGTCACCACGGCCCATTGCCATCTTCCTCCTCAGTCGGCTATTTGTCTCGGAGCGAGACTGTTAAATAAAATCTACATCGGGTCGATCTATCCCTGTTGTGGTGCGGCGACGCCGGCCGAGTTAAGGGGCTCACTGTGTCCGCCCAAGAGCTGCGCGCTCTCGTTGGGGCGCGGGGGAGGAACTTACCGACGCCCGCGGCCTGTCCCGGAGGTACTGAACGTGTATTTATTTTTTTTTGTTACAGGTAGCGGCCCTTATAGCCCGCCGGTGTGGCTGCCGCCTCCCGCTGCTGCCTCGGCTGCTGCAGATGGCGTCAAGATAAATAGAGGAAGCGAGCCAAGGTGAGGCGTTAACACTCCGCTCTCACTCACTCTCCTTGCCCGGAGCACCGCGCAGCACACTCTCTCTACTCCACCGTCCGGACCTGGCCGGTATTTGGACTCGAGCCTGCAGCAGCACACTGTTTTTTCCGTCTCTGTCTGATATTCTCATCTGATTTCCCCCATACCACGACACGAGACAAAGTGTTTCTCTGCGACCATTAAAAAAAAACATTATGTACTTCTCAACATGATATCTTCCATTTTAAGAACCTCTATAGAACAATAAATTTCCGTCTAGTCTTAACTCTTAAAATTATGTTAGCTTTACAAGTCTTGGGATATCCCGAAGATTCTCTCTTAACCACTCCTAGAAATTCTTTGAGGACTCCGGTCTTCGTTTTCATGCCGTAAAACAGCTGTTGAAGGAGACGAGTTTTGAGTCGAGTATATATGTTACGAAGCTGAACTCGTCGCGTGAAACCTACATAGTCCTTCGGGAAATCCCAAAGGACTTTTTGCAATATTTTTCACGAGTGTTTCATCGTGAAATCCCAGATTTTTTTGTAACAGTGGACTGTTATTACAGTGTTAAAGAATTCATAGACTCTGATGTCTAGATACTGTATGTCCAATGCTATTGTACGTAAACAATCCATAATTGAATCAGTCACCCCCCTCTCTCCCCCTCTCCCTGCTGTTCCTCTCTCTACCTCTTCCTGTTTCTCGCTCTCTGTCTCTGTTTCTCTCTGTCTATCTGTCTCTCTCTGTTCCTCTCTCTCCCTCTCCTTCTGTCGCCACCCACGGGCCTCTAGCACTATGCATGTCTCCTTTAATAAGTAAATTT